AAGATTTTATTTATTTTTTGACAGAGAGAGACACAGTGAGAGAGGGAACACAAGCAAGGGGAGTGGGAGAGGGAGAAGCAGGCTTCCTGTGGAGCAAGGAGCCCGATGCGGGGCTGGATCCCAGGACCCTGGGATCATGACCTGAGCCGAAGGCAGCCGCTTAACGGACTGAGCCACCCAGGTGCCCCTTTTTTTCACTTTCAGTACAGTATTCAAACATTACATGAGATATTCAACTTTATTATAAAATATGCTTTGTGTTAGATGATTTTGCCCAACTGTAGGCTAATGTTAAGTGTTTTGAGTACATTTAGGGTAGGTTGGGTTAAGCTATGATTAGGTGTATTGCATGCATTTTCGACTTACAATATCTTCTACTTATGATGAGTTTATTGGGATGTAATCCCATTGTAAGTTGAGGAAGATCTGTGTATGATTTTTATGATGTACTGTTTTATCTTCTTCATGAGATGCTGCTATTGACCAAGTTTCATAGGTTTTCCTAAATATATTTTTCCCAATGGTAGGAAAAATTTCAACCATATTGGAAATGTTGAAAAGCAAACATCCATTTACTACCTAGATTCCCCAATTAATATTTTGCTGTATTTGATATATATCTATTCATCCCTCTTTCCATTCATTTTATTTTTAGATGCACTTCACTGTAGGTTGAAGACATCAATGCACTTCATCTCTGTTGGTATGTGTATCATTAGAGTTCATTATTTGCTTAGGGTTCTTTGTATGTATGATTAAATAATCTTGGAATTTAAGTAGTACATTCTCTAAGTTTTGACAAATGCATACACTTGTGTATCCCCCGTGATGACATGGAACATCACTGTCAGCTTAGAAAGTCCCCTCATCTCCCATCCGTTTCCACTTCTCCTCTCTCCCACAAAGCCAATCCTTGGTCTGATGTTTTCACTATAGGTTGGTTTTGCCTGTTCTAGAACTTTATATGGAATCTTAAAGTTTGTGCTCTTTCATGTCTGGCTTCTTTCACTCAGTAAAATGTTTTTGAGATTGATTCATGTTGTTTCATCAGTAGTTAATTTCTTTCTTTTGCAGAGTATTATTCCATTGTTTGAATATACCAGTTTTTATCTATTCTCCTGCGGTTGGACAACTCCCCTGTTTCCAGTTTCTGGCAACAGTGAATAAAACTGCTATAAATAGTCTAATACAAGTCTTTTTGTGGACATATGCTTTCATTTCTCTTGGGTAAATACCAGAGTGGAATGGCTGGCTGAAAGAATAGGTGTGTTTAATTTTATAAGAAACTTCCAGGCCTTTTTCCAAAATGGTTGTTCCATTTTACATGTGTTGCTTCACATCCTCTCTAACATTTGGTGTTGTCATTTAAATTTTAGTCATTCTAATACAGAGCTAACTCATTGAAATTTTAATGTTCATTTCTCTACGACTAATGACACTGAATACTTTATCATGTGCTTATTGGCCAAATATTTTCTTTTGTAAGGTCATCTGTCTTTTCATTGTTGAGTTGTAGGAGTTTTTAATCTATTCTAAATATAAATTCTTTGTTGAAATATATGTGTTGTGAATACTTTATCCTGGCCTGTAGCTTGTTTATTCATATTCTTAATGGTGTCTTGATGAATAAAAAGTTAAAAATTTTTTGGAGTTCAGTTTATCAATATTTTTTCTTTTGTGGCTAGTGCTTTCGAAACCCTCTCCAAGAAACTTGTGCCTACCCCCAACTGAAAATATTCTCGTATGTCTTCTAAAAGCATAATAGTTTTGGCTTTTATATTATGGCCATGATCCATCTCAAACTTATGTGTGGTGTGAGGTAAGGTTCCTTTTTTCTCATATAGATATCAAATTGTTACAGCATTGTCTATTGAAAAGACTTTCCTTTCCCCACTGGGTTGCTTTGGTAACTTTGTAAAATATCAAACTACTTCATATTTAAGTTTATTTAACCATTTATAAAATGTTTTTACATATACATTCTCTTAACATTCTCTCACTGGCGGTGGATATGTTTTCCTCATTTTACAGTTGAGAAAACCAAGGCTCAGAGTAGTTCAAGAACTTGTCCAAGGAGATACAGAGCTGGGGACTAGAACATAGAACTACTACTGAATCCTTAAAAAAAATGTTTACATTTTAAAACTATTTTATCTAATGGAAATATTACTAAATGGACACTTTTTCTGAAGGTGATGTAGTAACAGAAATGAGTAAGTGCATATTTTTATATTTCAACACTGGTGGTAGTTTTAGATTGCCAGCCAAACACATGCTTCCTTTGTAGGCTTTTGTATGTCTAAAACAGTTTTTACATTAGGCATCTTTGTTTTAAAAGGGTAAAAAATTACAATGCTTGCTTTGCAAAATTTGGTAAGAATAATAATAATAGCTTTTAATAGCTTTTGGTAAGAATAAAAGTTGCTTGGACTTTAGTTAAGATAAAGAATGTATTTCCCTCACCCTGATCTAAAAATAAAAAAAAAAAAGTCTTACTTTTTGATTTTTTCACAGAAATACAGCAGTATTTGAAGGGACACATCATGAAGACAGATGGAAAAACTGTAAGAAAACACAATAGCCACTCTTGCTTTTTTTTTTTTTTCCTTTCTCCCCTACTCTGTTATATACTCGAGCACCCAGCTTGCCTTCAAATGCTTGTACTACCTTTTCCAATCTCATGGAAGCAGTTTTCTGGAAACCTTGATCATTTGCTGAGACTTGGCCAACCTCAATGTTCTAATTCTTCAGATCACCTATGCCTGCCCCTGAATTATCAGTCTTCTATGCCTACCTCATTTGCCAACTGTGACTCACAAATAAATGGCCTTTCTGGCTCACTATTCAGGGAAGAACCACCTTTCCCCAAGTACAGGGAGGCAACCTTATTAAAACCACTGGTCCATAATATAATTATATGTTAGAGATGTCACAACTAAAGTATCTATATCTGGTGAATTACATAGACTAAGAGAGTCACACAGGTATTTGAAGCCAACCTGGGGCCAGAGCTTATGTCTTCTTGGTAACTTCATTATTCTTCTCCCGTACTGCATGTCCTCCCCCCCGAATATCTGTTAAGCCAAGATGCTATAAAGTGAAACTAGGTTAACTATTGCTCACTCTAAGATGCAAAAACTGAGGCCATAGTGGGGAATGTGTAACAACCAGTCAGAGTGAGGTTTCTGAGACCAAGTCTGTTGGGCAGCCATTACTTTTGTCTTTTATCAAAACAGAGAACTAAAAAAGGCGTCATAAACTCAAGGACAAAATACACATATCCCAATGACTATTTTTTATTACAAGAGAGTTATGTGATCTTTGTGCATGGTAAGTGCTACCAAATAGCATACTTTGGAATCTCCTTCTGAGAGTGACTGTCAGAAGTCTAGGTACTGAGTGGTACCTGATCAAGTCTTGGGATGGGAAAGTTTCTCATCAGAAAAAGTAGAAAATGTTTACCAGTGCCCCTCCTACTTACTTAAGAGGAAGACACTCTGTAATAGTTTTAATATGATAAAGATACCCTAGTGCTCAGACTAATTGTTCTTGAGAGACAAAGTTGTAGGACTTAACTTCCTGATTTCAAAACTTACTCAAAGCTCCAATAATCAAAACAGTCTGGACTGGTACAAGGATAGATATAAAGACCAATGGAATGGAACTGAGAGTCCAGAAACTGAACCCTACATTTATGGCCAATTGATTTTTGACAAGGGTGCCTAGACAATTCAATAATGGAGAAAATAGTCTTTTCAATAAGGTGCTGGGATAACTGGGATGTCCACATGCAAGAGAATTAATTTAGACTCTCTACCTCACATATATACAAGAATAAACTTAAAATGGATCAAAGATTTAAATATTAAGAGCAAAAACTATAAAACTCTTAGAAGAAAACACAGGTGTTACTCTTGTGATCTTGGATTAGGCAAATGATTTCTTAGATAGGAAACCAAAAGCACAAATGACAAAAGAAAAAAAAGACAAATTGGACTTTATACAAATTAAAAACAAAGAAAAAATATAAATGGTCAATAAGCACATAAAAAAGATGCTCAGTATCATTAGTCATTGGGGAAATGCAAATCAAAACCATAATGAAATATCCCTTCATACACACCAAAATGGCTACAATCAGAGAGATAATAGCAAGCCCTGGGGATGGTGTGGAAAAATTGAACCCTCAAACCTTGTGGTGAGAATGTAAAATGGTGTAGTCTCTTTAGAAAAAGTTTGGAGTTTCTAAAAAAGTTAAACATTGGATTACCATGTCACCCAGCAATTCCACTCCTAGGTATATACACCAAAGAACTGAAAACATATCCACACAAAAAAGTTGTACATGAATGTTCATAGCAACACTATTCATAATAGCCAAAAAAGTGCTAACAACCCAAAAGTCCATCAACTGATGAATGGATAAACAGAATCTGGTATATCTATACAATAAAATATTATTTGGCAAATAAAAAAAGTACTGATATATGCTATAAGATGCTAAGTGAAAGAAGCCAGACACAAAAGAACACATATTTTATGACTTCATTCTTTTTTTTTTT